ATTAACATTGTGCAATTGTATCATACTGCTGAAATTACCTCTTTCCCCCTGAAGTTCCTTTAAACAACTAGAAGTTTATTTTCTATGACCCCAGCAGAGAGTTAATAATGTGTTTGGAGTTGCAACAAAAACGATTTTCTGTTAATTGTTAATTTCTGTTAATTTTTCAATTGTTACTGTGTGCATATTGCATATATTTTTCTCCTGCTGCTTCCTTCTCTCTTCTGTTTCCTATCTCTGGCTCTCTCATTCTGAAGAGGTGATTAAGGAGCCAGGAAACTAGCAGGATCTGGTTAGTGGTCCTGTGGGGTCAGTCTGAGGACATTAAGCCCACAGCGACAACGAGCCCCAGCTGTTAAAGCGTTTTTTCCTCCCCAAATTCATTTGTTTGTCAAATTTAGAGTGTCCACCATTGCCAAGAACCCCCTCTGCCACTCAGGCACTCCAGCAGCATGGTGACAAGGCTGCTTTTAGCCAAATCCAATTTAATCTCCATTGGCTGTAGTGGATAAAGCTGTCTCCATCTCCCCCAAACTGAGGCCAAGGAAGGCCAGGCAGTCCGCTGGGAGTTGCTCATTCAACACACAAGGACATAATGCAAACTCGAACACTGCTTTCCACACACACAAAAACACACACGCACATGTATATACAGACTAAAGATGTAGAGAGAGAGGTAAACCTATACTCGAACATACTTTGTTGTCCTTTACTCTCCTTGTTATGCGTTTCTGCGGCGGGGCAATGATGTCACTGTTATGGAAATGAGACAATAAAATATAAAAGAGGGCACATCTCACATTCTGCTCCTGGCCTGCAGGTCCTCCGCTTCCTTTTTTGTCTTCTTCAACTTTTACTTATCAGGAGGCTTGTATGTGTGTGTGTGTGTGTATGCCTGCAGATGGTTGGTAGGGTGAGGGGGAGTGACACCACAGCCTGGGAAGCACTTTTTATGCAAATGTTATATCTTAACCCACAGGTTCATGACAACATTTGCACAACATTTGCACAACATTTGCAACAACGCCGCTTAGTCACAAGTGCTTGTCGAGCAAATAAACAAGTGATTCTGGAATAATTCTGCATGACTTTAACTGCAAAGATCCACTCAATGTTAAGCATTGATTATTTTTTCTTTCCTGAACTGTTTTTCTCTTCTCTCATCAGTGTGAGTGGCAGATGTGCTCCTTATGTCGATGCTAATCCCCCAACTGGCAAAAAAAAGGAACAGAAAAAGTGTCTAATAAACATTCAAATGTGCCACCAGCAGCATTGTTATTTCCGGCTCATTGCTCCCAATGATCTTTGCATTGCTGCTCAACATACATGACCACTTACTTGTGAAACTCTTGACTGAGGTGCTTCAGGAAGGAGCAGGGAGTAGGAAAGTGGGTGCTCGAGAAAAGCTGATTAAATATCTTTTGACATGTACATTCAATGAAGACCGAAAACAACTCAAAGTTTAATTGACTTTAGCACAGAACTTAAAACATCCATCCATCCATCCATGATCTAGAAGCATTTATGTGTACTGTCTATTGCGTCCTGTAGAAAGTATGAAGTTATGGTGAAACAGTGTAAATTAAATAGAAAAATTAAGAAAGGAAACATTTAATTGCTATTGTACGATTTTATTGGTCTACACTTTGTCTATCCCTGTTTACTCCCCATCCTCATTTACCAAGTAACCTTTATGCTACCCCAATGCCAGAACATTTAAGTACCATCCTCAGAAGTGTTTTCTGAATATTTTATGAGTATTTAAAGTCAGAGAAGCATCATGCTGCTTTTATGAAGACTGAACAAACATGAAATTATGTAGTAATGACAGCCATTTCAGTTCATGCTCCAGGCCAAGTGAGCATGTCTTGGCTGTTTGAGGATATGTGCGACTGTGAGAACATTATGGTGCTCATTATGTTCACTTAAGAGAGGGTTATTTGCCTGTGTCTGTTAAGAGCTCAGTGTTGTCTGCGTAGAAAACTTGTGTGTTTATGTTTGTGTGTAGCGGTAGCAGCTATAGCAGTTGGAGATCATTAGTTAAGGGTGTTTCCCTGCTTCCCTCCAGGACCAATAGTATGCTGTGGAGATACATGCTCATTGGAGTAAATGGCATTAGTACAGTGTTCGACTAGTGGCCCTGGGGTCTTGTTTCTAAGCCTTTTTTGTTTCAAGTGGCAGTGTTGCATGAAGCTCCCTCACACTGAGCCTATTTCTTAGGCCCTTATCCGCCCCTATGGAATATCTCACCAGTGTATTCCTCTCCGAATGGAAGAGAGGAAGACAATGAAGGGTAAGAGCGAGAATACTCCAACAAGGCTCTATGAGTAGCCGGTTAGCTTCCGTTTGTTAGCACATGGCAGGGCATTAAGCTGAATGAGATAAACAGCATGAAGACTCCGGGGAGGGGCTAATGGTTAGCGCATGGCTAAGGGTACACTCTGGTTGAGACTCCCACCGCAGCATTAGGGAGGAGTGTCACTACGCTCATTAGCAACGCAGCCTGGATAGTCGTCGACACTGCTGCCGGCTCTGGGTCTGCGAGAGAAAGAAAGAGAGAGAGAGGCCCACACAGGAAGCTGCTAGTCCGACATGAAAGGAAGTCACTCTGTAGCTCTGTGTGATTTCTGCTGCATTTTCACTTTTTTTCTTCCCCAATTTGTACCCCTCCTTTGGATCATATCCGCTTCCCTAAATCACCTCATCCCAAACCTCTTACTAATCATGTAAGCTGGAGAGGACTAAATGCTAACAGATGCTAGTATTGTCAGGGGTCGGTTACATGCTTTCACAGCTCAGTGACACTGAACAGTTTACCTAAGATGACTTGTTCGTGTCTCCTTTTAACCTCAAGCGCATACCGCATGTCCTGCGGTATGTTGGGCGCTTCACAGATTGAAATGTCCTTCCTGTCTTCCAAGGGTCAGCTGACGGTTCAGAGAAACCCCGGTGCAGTAATTACAGCTGTGGACAAACATCTGTGGTACTTCAGGGGATTTCTGCTCTGAACTTGTACTGCAGTACGACTCTGCTGCTGAATATCACCATGTCTGCTGTTCTTTTTTTACACCTAACTGCAGTGCTTTAGGAAATTATGCACCACAATCAATGTGCTAAATGATGAGTTCTGTTCCAAAATGATTAAAAATATGGAGACCCACTCTACATATGGCTGAATGGCAGTTGGGAACATATGAGGTTAATACTTCAACGTATATAGAAAATGGCAAAGTCATTAACTATTCAAATGTTTTTTGGGGTTTTTTTTAGTGATGAATTTTAGAGAAAACTTCCCTAAACTTCTTTTCCAGAGAGTCTAAACATGTATAATATTTAGCAATTAAATGGAAACCCTAGTGGCTCTTAATTGCACTAAGTTTCAAATTAATTTTCCCACAGCAAGGAAGTGAAGAGGATAAGGAGAGAGAAATAACTTGTTACGCTGCCTTGTTGATTACAGTTGGTCGTCTACTTGACACTGCATTTGTTTTATCACTGCCTACAGTGGCTAATTTGGTAAAGATGCAAATTGAGTGTCACTCTGAATCAAAGTGGAGTGATAATGATTGGTGTATGCTTCCAGCATGGTACTGAATATTTTCCCCAAACTATAATCTGTTCCATTGAAAATTAAGTCTAACTCAGTGTGACTAGGGCCTAAGGTGGTCTGGAAAAAAAGCCGTCAAGAGGGTGTACAGGGTCACAAGGTAAAATGTTACATGACAGAACTATGATAATCAAGAGAGCCACATTTAGGCGTTTCTGAAATACTTAAAACTATAATCAGGAATGTTGCATCCATGTCTTTCTGAATTAAAGAGCCACGCATATGATAATGACTATATTTAACTAAAAAACAGTTAGGGGGAATCAGCATTTGTGATTCAAATTAATAATATAGCCTGTAATTTATTTTGGGCTTTTCTTTACTGTAGAGATAGCACAGTGGAAATCAGAGAGTTGGGAATGACACGCAGGAAAGGAGCCACAGGCTGGGTTTGAACCTGAACCGTCCGCTTCGAGAATTACATCATTTGTACATTCCACTCGGCTTTTTTATGATCAAGTGACCTGCCATTGTTGCATGTGTGAAACTTACCTTGTGTATGTTTCAAAACAAACATTAATAAACCTTTTATAGGCAAATATTTTAAGTCAGTCAGAGAACAAAAATTATATTTATGTGCTATGATTGTGTAAGAAAACATGCAAAACCAATGTTCTTTTTACATTATATTTACACCCCCCTCTCTTCATTTGCAAATATTGTGTCACCCCCCCAGCAACTGAAACTACATCTACGCAGCGACAGATATAAGTCCTTTTAAATCTTGTGTTTCCAAAGGTACAGCTGAACAGCATACTCAGGTTTAACTTATGTTGTTAAAGGCCGTTCGTCACACTATCAACATGCTAATGTCGCATAGTAATAAACTGATCCAAGGGTACAATTAACAGAAAAATAGGGGCAGGTCTTTCTTGCATAATATGTATTCTATCAATTGAAATGTTGCTTATTGAAAATAATTACACAAAACACAAGTAAGATTTGCTCAAGATCAAAGAGAGAAATCAAACTATCTCACATCATTTTTTAAACAGGGCCTGAAAATACTTGGCAGCACAATCCCTTTAAGAACCACAGGCCTGTGAAAGTGCTTCTCTCACAAGTAACCTCGAATAAAAACTACAGAGTTGTTAGGCAGTGAACCACTTTCCCAGAGTGCCTTTCCTCGACTTTCTATTTGATATACTTGCAGTGTTTGAAAAGCGAAACCAAAGTGAATGCTATAAAAAGTAAAATAAGTGCTAATTCTTTTTTTACATTTTTCTCATAGAAATATGTCTTGTTTGCTGTGTGCGGTACAAACGTGGCCCCGTTGCTTGTTTTCAGTGAGACAGCCTCTTAATCAATACACCATCTGTTGTGCTAAACTACTCATTCCTTTAGAGATGACCAGAATGCTAACGCGCCTTGTGCTCTTTTTTTCCCTCCACAGCCCCTCCAACCGTCCGCATTATACACTCAGGGCACGCCTGTAATGTAGAAGAGGAGAGGCACACGGAGAGAGTCTACACCATCAGAGAGGGAGAGACGCTGGAGCTCACCTGTCTAGTGACAGGACATCCTCGACCACAGGTGAGGAGAAACCCTATCATCGGCTATCATCTGCACCTGGCTGGTTTCAAAATATCTGAAAAAAAGAAAGAAGCAAATCTTTCAGCCTTCTTTTTCTACTTCAAAATCTCTCTTTAATTCTGCCTTAGCGTCATTGGGTGGCCCACCACGTTCCTCTGCACTAAACCAGCTTAAAAGTTTAATCCGTTAATTATTGATGGTGCAGTTTGCATTGTGCACCTGCATGTTGATATGAAAGCTGCCGCGTCTAATGAGAATGCAAGAAAACAAAGCAGCAGAAACATCTGCCAAAACAAATCTGTAACGAGCACACAATAAAGAGACTCTGGGTCATGTGAATGCACAGGGGTCCTCGGCATCTAAGGAAGAGTTTCATTCCCAAACTCTTTCATTTTTTGTTTTGATCTGAACTAATTAAAAACTTTTTTTATTTTATATTTTTTACCTTTTTTGTGAAGTAGATGCACCACCTATTTTTTTGTCTTGTTGTTGCTCGTTCGGCATAATTTAACAAATTCAGAAAAGAGGCAAATTGATCAACTCACTAAGACAAATTGATACTTTATAACTCCAATAAAGGTATAAAATGTCAGCCCCCGTAAATAAAACAACAGACCACGACATTTGTTCTCATATTAATCTGGGCAGGACTTGCACACACTAACCTTTCAAACACTTATCGACTGTTCCTCCCAATTTGCGTTGGAGCACAAATCACACAAAATTCAAAACCCACTCCGGACAGGGCCAAGCTCATTAACATTAATTAATATAACCTCCCCTTTGATCGATGGACAGACCTATTAGTCTGTACACTTCCCCTTTGGATGCGAGCTCATTGATTTTTATATTTCAGTCGAAAATGTGAAGCCTCTTAAATTGGCGACAGGCTCACAGACCCACGGTTTCTATCGTTGTGGAGGGGGGGGGGGGGGGCCACATCACGCTCATCATCTCCGTCTTTCCTCTTAATTAGAATTTGTGAAACACTGAGCGGAGTGAGGGGAGGGGAAGAGGAAGAGGAGAGTGGGAGATCAAAAGCCCTGCATAGCTGTGGCAGGAGAGGCAGGATCTCCTTTGAAACCGAGTCATTATGAGACTCACACGGTTTTCCCTGGCACAGCGGGTCTCGGCTGTGTCTCTGCGGACTCTGGGATGTGTCAGCTCTGTCCCCCCTCTGGTAATGGCATGGGACCGTATGATGGGGGTGTGGGTAAGTGCACACTCATTTAGAGATGATTTGGAATCTGGAGAGGTTATCTGGGGTGGCGGCGAACCTCAGGCTGGTTTTGTGATGTTGGCGGGGGGAAAAAAAAAAAAGACACAAGGATACGTGACCTCAGCGGAGACAGACTCCCAAAGCTAACACGACAATAACAGCTCCTCTTTTCATTAGAATAAAAGATTAATCCTCTGAACATGTTCTGAGTCTATCTGCGCCCTAAAGTTCCACATTTTAATTGAGTCCAGTTAATACATCTTTCAACAGCAGACGTAATCAGTACTCTTTGCAAAGGTTATGGTGCACTTTCACTGTCCTGTTTTGATAAATGGCACAAGCAAAGGAAGAAATACTGGTGTTAGAAAGTTCAAACACACATACAGTATCTTTTTCTCCTGACTTTTTCTGTGGCATGCACAAACACCAGAACACACATCCTCTAGTTCCTCAAGCATGCAACTTCCTCAAGTTAGTTAAAACATGTTAACATTTATCCTGAGCTTCTTTTGCCCATAAATACTTCGACATATCGCATATATAAAGTTCTGTTTTATCTCTTTTTTTTTCTTTGTGAGATTTCCTCATGGGCTTTTTATGCCTTTCTTGAGAGGTAGGACAGTGGAGTGATTCAGAAACATGGGAGAGAGAGAGAGTGGCTACCAGCGCTCCCTATACTATTTAGTGTCATATAAAACATTAATGCGGCTCAAATTTCAAACGAAACAAGGATTACAGAACTTTCTCAGGATCCAAACTGTAATGAACACTTTGATTCCTCGTAAAAAAAAAATGATGTCCTACATCCTCTGCTGTCTGCATTTACTTTGATTTTAAGATGAAATGTTTAAGCAATTAATTCAAACCCACTCACTAATACCTCAGACTTCCATTGAAACTTTAAATCAAATGGCTAACGTTATTAAAATAAGCAAATATATTGTTAAAAATACTGTGAGGTTCACATAAACCAACCACACCCAACTTTTCATTTATTTGACAAAAACAGCTGCTGATGCTGTTCTGTAGCAAGCTGTCAAATGTCTTCTAGTCTAGCCTGAGGGATGTTAGATCATCAGGTCAAGTGCTCCCCAATGTTCCTAAAAGCTATGTTTTGCAGAAAACTTACAGAACTGACAACTCTGCAGATATCTTACCAGCAACAACAGGTGAGATCATGACAAATACTGGTTGGTAGAATTGGTAGAAACATTTGTGGTTTTACATACCCGGCTTTAAACCAATAGGGGTATTGAAAGGGTGAGTGAGGGTCCATGTCTAAGATGTCCATGTCCATGTCCATGTCTGTGAAATATTAGAATGGATATAGAGGAATGCACTAAACAATAACTACTTCAATGATAATGCATTCAACAAATATCAAAGAGCAATGTATAAACACCTCTGTTTTTAACATAAATGAAACACATTTTGAAAAGAAATACATTTAATAGTATAAAAAGAAAACCTCATTAATGCCTACTTTGATACTAAAAATGAAGTTCAGATTTTCTTAAAACTTTAATGTCTTATGTCTGAGTGAAGTGAAGATAATTTGCATTTGAAGCGCAGAAGTTGTGAACACAAGGTAACAATTCAAAAAGACAGAGGCACTGTCCAATGGTCTCACATTTTACTTTGTCATTTTTAAGATCGAGCCAAAGGCTTTAAGCAAAATAAGATCTGCCAGATTCAAGTCAACCGGTATGATCTAAGACAGTGGTTCTCAATCTAAACTGGTCTAGTCTAAGGACCCACAACTACCTCCTTCCTAGCAGTTAGGAACTAGGCGGACTCAAACCATGCAACATGTGGTGAGCAGTAAAATATTTTGGGCTCTGCTGAAAACAATCAGAGCTTAAGCCCCATAACATGCCTCTGTGCTGCCTGTGATCCACGCCTAATGCTCATGGGAAACTACTAACTCCTATCATTGAAGTCATTTAGATATTTTTTTTCACTCATGAGCCTCCATACCAGCTGTAACTTTAACCACACACTCCATCTGCACCACCAAAGCACAGGGGGCCAAGTCACACTCCTTGATCCCTGTAAACGGCTTCAATTAGTTCTGCATTAGCAAATCACAAAATTGCTTTTTCCATCATTACTGTCCAGATTTCAGTCCCTTTCCCTGACTTTGAGAGACTACGAGCTCCCATGATGACACGCAGACCGAGGGGTGTCGAGCCAAGTACAACATCAGCACCACAAAGGACCAACCGCAGAGCAAATGGGGCCACGGTTGGCAATTTTCGCCACCATTTAATTCCTCACATGTCTATCAATATGCACGCTTCCTAAATTACATAGGCTCCCCTCAGGCTTTCCAAATGATGGAGTCTCTGGATTGTGTCCAACAGGGCAGCAGCTTCCGCACAGCAGGCCTCAGTCAGCCCCATGCACACCCGCCCACCCACCTCAGAGGAAAAACAGAGGCTTTCTTTTAATAATATCATACATGTGTGTTATACACAAACACACAAAGCCAACCACACACACCTTTAACAGCCACAGCACCTCCTTCCAATTTAATTGTCAAATAAATATATGTTCCTGTCAGTCATCTGCACACAGTATAATATGTAGTTGTTTCACTAAGCCTCCTGGGTTTGGCATTTCAAGGTGTTTGAAGTGTTCTACATGAAATGACTATGGCTGTTGCCGTCTGACAGGCTCTGGGGGCATCCAGTCATACTCTCACAGATGTAAAGTGCAGAGTTACATGAACATGAGTCCTATAGCTCTCTGTGGAGAAAGATAACAGAAAAATCTTTGTTCTGGCCTGAACCTTTCATCTTTTGGTGAGACACAAGCATGTCCATTGGCTTGCTCTTTCGGTACCTTCTGTGTTTTTCTGGAAAATAGTTGGTTGAGAAATGAACAAAAATTTTAGCACAACATGATATTTAATTCTGAATCACTTTTCTTCATATACGAGATTAATTAGTTTGATCCATTAGAACTGATGGATTGATAGACAATGAAAATAAAAGGAAACTCTCAGGCTTTAGCCACTCCACAAACAGAGGTTTGTGCTCTCAGAGTTTGACTTAAGACTTTCAAAAAAGAATTATGTGGATACCTTCTTCAAGAGAGGAACCAAAAAAATACTGGAGCACACAAATCACTTAAAGGAAGAATATGCGATTTTTTGATCCAGCAGATGTCGCCCTTGAGCACCAGTATGAAAACAAAAAAACTTGCATTGTTGTGTTTGCATGCTAATGCTAGCTATCTTTGTTATGCTCGTATCTTCACACTGCATGTAAATTTACCCAAAATGACCGTGATCACTTACGTGACATTAAAATAAGAAGTGAGTACAGTATGTTATTCTTCTTTTCTCTAGTTCTCTACTCAATTGAACAACTTTTATATGCAAGGGGATAAGCCTGCCTGCCGTCCCGGCGATTTAAACATGCTATAGATACGGCTCGGAAAACATCACAGACAGCGGGACTGGGGTGCTACACTCATTGTAGACAGTCATGACTTACAAAGTTATTTTCAGAGGATATACTTGATTTCTGCTACATTTAAGTGTGAAAAATCTCATATTCTTCCTTTAAGGCAGATTTAATAAAGGTGCAAAGGACTAACGTTTCGACGCATCGCGTCTTCTTCAGAGTCAAACCCACTCTGTAGACTTCGATTTGTGTTCTCCAGTATTTTTTTGGTTCCTGTCTTGATGAAGACAATTAGAATCCTTTGTTGCAGCTCTAACAAATATAAATCCCTGTTTTCTTACTCTCTCGCAGGCAAACAAAATGGCCACAAA